TCTAACTCTCTATCTCTCTCCCTTCCTCCCTGTAAAAAATCAATAAAATATATTTTTAAAAAAATAAATAAAAATAAAATATGTTTTTATTGATTTTAGAGAGAGAGGAAGGAAAGGGATATATAGAGAGAAATATCAATGATGAGAGAGAATAATTGATCAGGTGCCTCTGCACACCCCCTACTGGGGATCGAGCCTGAAACCTGGGGACTCAACCACTGAGCAACACCAGCAGGGCCCAATGGACTTTTCTTTCTGAATTAGTAACAGTTGAGATCTAACTCACTTCCTTTAACCCAACTAAGAAATGGGATATTTCCAACCATTAATAAAAAGAGGAGAGGGGGAAATGGCAGGGAAGGTGGTGGTGATACAGGTGACCCCAGCTACACATTAGAAAAAAACATTATGATCTAATTTATACTGGATATAAATAACTAAATCCTAGCAGAAGTAGTAGGATTATGATTAATGGCTGGGGGGGGGTGTCAATCGGGGGAAAAGTAGACATATGTAAAACTTTAGACACAAAAAAAAAGAGAGAGAGAGGAGAGGGGAGACAGTAGATTTAATTAGAAAGGTTATAGATTTTGAACTCAAAGGACCAGCATCAGTGCCTATATATCGATATCTTTTAATATTCTACGCATATGAAAAACAATAAAAATATATTTAGTTTTTTTGGTGTGATCTTGGGTATTGTTTCACTTTTGTGTCCTCTTAAAAACTGAGATAATTCACAGGATTAAATATGTAAAGCACTACACAAATGTTAATTTTCAATAATAGGTATTCTACCTTGGTTTTTATTTTTCAAATGAGTTCAAATGCATTTTATTTTTAGACGACCTACATGACATGTTATTCTTAAAAACAATGCCTCTACTCCAAATATATCAAGGGCAAAATAAATAAAGAGCTCAAGATAACATCAGTCCCATTGTCCTAGTCCTCATGTGTAGATGGAAAGCAGCAGCCAGGTGCTCACTTCGGCAGCACATAACTAAGATTGGAATGATACAGAGAAGATTAGCATGTCCCCTGCACACAGATGACATGCAATTTCATGAAGCGTTTCATATTTTTAAAAAAAGAAAAGAATTAAAACTGTGGTACATCTACACAATGGAATACTATGCCGCTATAAAAAAGAAGGAACTTTTACCATTTGCAACAGCATGGATGGAACTGGAGAGCATTATGCTAAGGAAAAAAAGCCAGTCGGAGAAAGATATATATCACATGATCACACTCATATGTGGGATATAATGATCAACATAATTTGATGAACAAGAATAGATCCAGAGACAAATGGTGGGGGGGAAGGGGGAGGTTACATAGCAACCAAAGGACTTGTATGCAATCATATGTAAAACTGTAGACAATAAAAAATAAAAATAAAAAAGCAAAGAAAAACAGCAGCCAGTTATGATGACAGGTGATAGATCCAAATTGCCAAATTTGTTAACATTTTTCCATTTCTAAGCCATCCTTAAAGAAAATCATATTTGAGTCACACCATTCTCACGGAAGTCCTGCAGAGCAACCATGCCATCTGTTTTCACCAATAAAGAACTGGTAAGTTTTGAAATTAGCAAGGATGTGCTTGATTTGTTCTGAAGCCCATCATAAAAGGTTTTACTCTTTCTGGTCTCTGTTCTTCAAGTTTCCCTTTAATGGATTTCATGTCATCTTTGACATACTTCTTGTAGGCTTCTTTTGTGAAGCTGGTTT